AGCGTCAGGGACTTGGGCTCTGGGCTCAGGCTGCCTAGATTCAAGTCTCACCACGGCCATTTGCTCTGCGTCTGTATGTAAGCTACTCAACCTCTCTGAGCCTCTTTACTCATCTATAAAATATAAATAGCTCCTGCCTTGTAGGTATGTTACGCAAATTAAATGAAACAGGGCTTGGAAAGTGCTTGATGTGTGCTAAGCGCTTGGTTAATGTCAGCTGTTATTACATAGTTACTGCTATTAATACCATCTGTCCAGAATTGAGTTCCCTTAGCTTTACAGACTCAGAAATTTACTCTTATTATGGAGTGATCCAATTCAGAGGAAACTGTTTCACCTTAGCCAAACTCACAAGAGGACACGAAACCAACAGTTTATTTAGAACGGGAAATAGTTTTCCAATGCTTCATACATATATTTGCCATCCAAGGCATGTCCTTCTCGAGAGCAACATACCTGAGATGCTGCTGGGTGTACGTGGAAGGCAGAGGGTGGGGCTCCCGGGGGGAAGACATTTCCAGACTGTGATAAAACAGGGGTCCCTGATTCATCATAGAACCACCTTGATTGAGATCAGAATCCCACAGCCACCAAACATGACAGCTTGCACACTAGCTGCAAGCAGGAATGCCATGTGTCTTGCCTGACTCACAGAGCAGCTCCTCAATAAATATTTGTTAAATAAATGAATTCCTTGGGCAAGGCAGGCTTTACGTCATCAACTCCTTGTTCCTTTCTTCTCCCTCTCCAGATTCTAGGCAAATGGACTCCCTCCTCCTTTGGGCAGGATACTAGTTATCGGATCACAGCTTTGCCTCCATTCGTTGTTCTATTCCCCTGGATGGAGACACCTTGATGAATTACAGGAAACACGCCATTCTCATCGGTAATATGTTTACACGAATTCTAGCCCGCCCCTTCCCTGCTTCCCATCTGTATTCTATGTAACTGGCATTCCCCTGCACGCTACAAAGGTAACACCAGCAATAATCACCAGAGCGCAGCTCAGTGAGATTCTCTCCCTGCTGCCTGGAGCGCTGTCCGCTCTGCCCCTCTGGACAGAGGTCGACAGCACATCTTCCTCCGGAAAGGTGATTATCCTCTTTGTAGGTCTGTTGGGTTGTTTTGTTGTTTTTTTTTAACCCTGCATGAAATTTAGTGTTGCCCTATCAATTTCAGTTTGCAGCTCCTTAAACAACCAGGTGAATGAGGGGGCCAGGTCTGCAGGTTTCCCTCCGTATTTAGCACGATTCCCCTCAAAGGACAAACCCATCTCCTTGGAGCAATTCTCAAGTCAAAGGCACCGGGCCAGAGAAAAAGGCAGGAGAGCCGGCCCACCCGATCTGTGGGAGTTCGAAGCTCGAGGGGAGGCTTGCTGCCAACCAGCAGGCGGGTTGGTGCACGCTGGGACGAGACAAGACACGAGGGAAGGAAACAGCCACCTCATCTTCCTGCCGTGGATAAAGCTGGCAGAATTCCAGCTGTTCCCTAACCTGGCTCCATCAGAGCCCTCGGATAAAGCGCCCAATCACTTTCCTTCCCCCAAAAGCTTTAAGAAATCGGTAGGTAAAGAATTCAAAATTCCAGTCAAGAGTTTCTTTCTCTCCTGCCCGCCCCTATGGAAATCCTAAGACTCAGTAACTGTTACTGTTCACTCGGCTTGGAAGTATCACCCTCACCTCCATTCACCCCAATCGTTGGATTCTCTTCCATCCAAACGCTCCCCCTGGATATTTCCTTTAGAGGTTTCAGGGGGACAGGAACGGCAAGGCTTCCTTGGAGAGCCTGGCGGGACCACATTTTACTCCTCAAGTGAGTTGCACAGGGCACTGAGACGTATTCGGTCTTCTCTCCCTCCACGTCCTCCCCCACCATATTTCCCAACTTGTAACCTGGCATGCCCGCTCTTAGAAGCCAGAAATATGACAAATATTCAGATAAGCCAGTGGAATTTAAAGCACAGGTCCGCTGCTGTGCTGGTGAAGACTCCGGAGTCCACTTCACAGTGTCAGGCGGTCCCCTCTCAAACGTGTGTACAGCTCAAACCCTGCATGGAGCACCGGACCGAGCTCTTAGGAGACACTTAATCACTATTTGGGGAATGAATTCATGAATCTTATTTTAATGTACTGTGACATTTTTCTTCTTAAAGGAATATTATGCTAAGTATGTCATGTAAGGACTTTTGATACCTTAAAAGAAATTTTGCTTTTATGGTTAAGGAACTTAAAGCGAGGTTAACCTTTAATTTCAAGTTCAACTTTTTTTTTTTTGAGGCAAGGTAATGTAGTGGGAAAAAGCCCAGGGTTTGGAGTCAGACCCCATTTTCGAATCCCACTTCTGGCACATTCTGAAGATAATAATGTATAATTTAAGGAGCTGTGATGTTTCAATGGGGTAACTGTGACTTTCCTAGCACTCGGTGGGGGATGGGAATGGGAGGGAAGTGGTGGCCTTCCTACGTGGTCAGCCCATCCACTGTCACGCCAAGGTTTGGGGTCTTTATAATTCTGTGGTATAGAATCATTCACCGGCGACCCGTTTCAGAGAAACAGAGAAGCAGCCGCGTACCCCTGCCCAGCCAGGGCTCCTCCCTAGGCACCATGTCCCGACTTGGCCTTCTCACACTTGGGTACTTTTTAAAAATGTGCGTATCCTCTAGTGTAATAGATAGGCCTCCCTCACAAAGGCTCTAACTGACCCGATCTTTCCTTAACGCTCGATAGATGCCTTAAGTGCAACAAAAATTTAGCAACTCATGAAGATTTCAGGGCCTCCGAAACTGGCAAGAGTTTGAGGGAAATCACAGGGAAATTCGCTCACAGCATGATTAATCCTGGGTGGATTGGTCCCGGAAAAGCACATGTGGGTTTGCAGCAAGCAGCAGCCTGCAGAATTTCACAAGACAGACCGTCTAACGGAGGGCCCTGAAGTGTGCGTTCAGGATGAACGTTCAGAACGAGGGTGGGGCCTGACAACTGAGGAAAATGCCAGATGTGCGGACAACAGAACTCCTTTGAGTCCACTCACATCCAAAGAGACAACACATGGGACCAGATTATAAAACCAAACCAGATTATAACACTAGCCGAGGGAAGCCCAGTGGGGCGTAGGAGCCTATGAGAAAAATAATAAAATTCATCACCATAATTACCCCCAGCCCAGCTCCCCAACAAGACCAACAATAGCCAGCTCAATGAAGTTATTCATCCATATTCAAGCGGCCTCACTCATTATCCTCAGACAAAACCCCTCATGGGCCTCAGCTCCTTGCCAGCAGCCCAGCAACACAGCATCTACACACAGCCAGCCCCCCAGCACAGCCAGGGCAGGCGGGGGTGGGGAAGCTTCTGTCTTTAGTAGTTTCTAGGACCAGTGGTGACTGTCTTTTCAGACAGGGTTTACCGCCACCCTTAGGAGTAGCTTTGACATTCGGGAACTGGCTTAAAGATAATTACAGCTAACCTTTCCCTGAGAGAAAACAGGGGAGGCCACCCGGCTGCCTCCTGCCCTGAGCAGAGCCGGGATGTGGCTCAGTCTGTGGGCCTCCCACACCTTGCCCTGGTGAGCACAAGATGGTGTCAATGGCATACTGTCTCGCCAAAAAGGAAACGTAACTGAAATGCAGAGCTGTGTATATCCCAGTAGAAAGAGAAGTTCCAAAGATAGGACCACCACAAATAGCCCGTGGCCTTGTAGAGAGGGCTGCTGGGTCTCTTCGAAGCAGCCAGTCCAGCACGGAGCACTACATCCTGTATCATTTCCCTAGGGCTGGGTATTTTCATCTCTGCAGGGAATTATAAAGACCTAAGTCAGGTCCACTGCTCCCTCAAACCTCTCCTGCCAAGAAGGACCCCCTGGCACCAGGACTGCCTCCAGCCTCAATCTGGAGAAGGTAAGAGTTCACCTTTCAGAGCGTGGCTTAACAACCTCCAACTCCAAAGATCGCTAGTGAGCTTACAGTTCCTTCACTCAATATTCAGTGAGCAACTACTCCGTGCTGGACGTTGTTTTGGCCCTGGGGATCAAGGCTATGACACAGCTGTGTCCTTGGGAGCTTATATTCTATTGGGAAAAGAGCTACAAAACAAACACCAAGAAAAGAACTAAAATATTGACAAAGGTGCGTGGATGACTTCGACACAGCACACTGGGCAGAGAGAGGCAAGAAGAGCAAGGAAGAGGAGGGAAAGGAGACGGCAAGATGTAGAGGATGGGCAGGAAGCGCCCAGCACTAGATCTAAGACAACGTCTGAGTCAACATCACTCCTTAGTCATTGACGTTGTTGACCAAGTTCAACACACAGCCCCAAACCCTCTTAACCCTCAGTGTTCGCAGCCATCCTTGTTCCTTCACGCTACTCAGGAGCCATCTCCACTTCAGTCCTTTCCACACACACTGTCCCCTCTCTACAGAGGATAACGAGGGCTCTTCCAGCCGGTCCCCACTGATGGGGCCTGAGTGTGCCCAACAGGTGGGTGCACAGCCTGTAAGACCTGGCAGGCCCCAGAAGGAGACCTTCTCTGCACCGGGGGGACCTCCCCCACCCCAGCTCTCCTGAATGTGCCTCCAGACTCCACGGGGCCAGTTTCTTCTGAGGCCACGGGCTGCTCCTCCAGGACACAGCCCTGCAGGAGAGCCCACTCCTGCCAGCGGAAGGCTCTTTACTGTTAGCCATTCGCCCTCTCACTGGTGCTCAGAGCAGGGGGTGGAAGGAGGTGGGCTGCGCTGGAGGGAGGCCCCCTCTGCTCCCCACCCTTGCCGCCTGTGGATTCGGGGGCTCCTCCTTGCACCCAGCTCAGCTGTTTCTTTGGGACCTGGCACCAGCTAAGCCTCCGTCTCTCCTTCTCCCCGGTCCTCCAGACTCGGGCACACACACACTCCCGCCTCCCCTCTGCTCTCCCGGGCAACCTCAACTACCAGGCGCAGGCAGCCCAGCAAGCCCCGGCTCGCCCGTCCCCTCCAGCAGCCCCTGGCAGCCACTCCTGCCGTGTCTTACCTCCTTCTGCCAGGACCCAGAGCCAGGCGCTTCCCAGAACCAAGAGCAGAACTGGCACCTTCCACATCCTCTCAGTTGACTTGTGCTCTTTGCGGGCCGGGCAGCTGGTTTCTGGGCTGGGGGAAGATTAAAAAGCTCTGCAGCCACAGGCCTGGCGGAGCGCGAGAGTGAAGACGCAGGGAGCACAAGTCCCAGCGCAGGAGGGGTCCGCAAGCTTCCTTCACCCGCAGCAGCTGGAGCAGCAAAGTTGGCCGTTGGGAACTTTCGGATCGGAGTCCGCATTTATCCCTCCCGACGAGGGCGGGGAGTGGTCGGCTGTAAGGTGGTCCCAGTCCGGGGCTCTCTAGGACCGCCCCCTTGCTCTCTTTGGCCGGCGCGAAAACGATGACCTCAGGCCAGGTTTAAAGTTACAGGGCTGCAGCTGCGGGGCTGCCAGGACGCGCGGAGGGCTCGGAGCGCCGCACGCTTGGCTTTGGCTCCGTTCCCCAGCAGGAGGGGAAAGGGGGCGCATGCAATCAGCAATTTATTTTGTTTAATGTTTTACTTTATTATTCTGCTTTTTAAGAGTGAGGCACAAGCCTAGGTTTTTCTTGTGAGAAGTAAACCCTTCCTTGTGTGGCCAGTAATTTTAGAACCAAGCATGGGACTGTTCTTGTAAATATTGAATCTGATGGCTTAAAAAAAAAAGTGGCCGCCCTCATCTGGGTGGGCAGAGGCGGCTCGCGCTGGTAAATTGCGCCCTTGTCCAGGCAACCGAAGGGGGCGGGCTCCAGGGGGCTGCCCCCAGAGAGCCGGCGGGGAGCTTGGCAGAAGGGGGGACTTTGGCAGTTTGGGAAAAACGGCTGAGCTGGAGATCGGCCTTTCCCGACTGGATGCAGCGCCGTGGCGCTGGGGCCCGCGGACGGACGGTCGTTGCGGCGCTGCGGCCAGAGGATGTCCAAGGATGCACCTGGCCGTCAAACCCGTGCCCTCTTCCAGCTGGGGCGCAGCCCATTCAGCCGGGGAGTTTGGTCCCTAAATCTCCACTTTGCTAGTTTGAGTAGTCTTGTCCTGACCTCAGGTACTGGATGTTAGGATCAGGGAAAGAACTTATAGTTTTTACTTTATTTCCTTTTGAATTGCTGGAATTAAAAGAAAAAAAAATTTTTAAGAAGAGGAGTTTGGGACTTGGCCTCTGCCACACTCCAGGTGCCACAAATTCCATTCAACAAAAAGAACCCAAAGACTAATGCCCCAAAGCGCCGAACTGGGGTGAAAGTTGGTTGTTTTTCAGATCCTTATCCTAGACCCCTATTCCGAATTTACTTTATCGTAAGAATCACCTGGGAAAATTGTTTAAAAAACTCAGATTCCTGGGGTCCACCTCCAACTCATTCGTCAGACCCTTTGGGTATTCCTATTTTAAGCCAGTGGCCCCCGAGCGTGTGGATCATGAGAATTTTGGGCGGTGCCGTTAAAATGCAAGTGCAGCTGGGTGGGTCTGGGGTGGGGAGATTCAAATGTCTAAACATCTCCCAAAGGTGGCCTGGTCCTGGGGCTACAAGAGAGGAGCTGGCGCCCAAAGTAGGGCGAGGAAGGGGCCCGGAGAGTCAAGAGGCTGGAAATGTAAAGAGAAAACTGGGGAGAGAGGAGACACCGAAGTGACTGCCCATCTTCTAACACATTATATTACTATTACTGCGTTATCACTAAGGTTTGCTCACAGACTGAATGGTGCCCTGGATTGTCTGTGGAGCCTGCTAGGTGCAGAATAGATGCAAATCCACTCCAAAGTCAAGGATGAAAAAGGAAAAGATAGACCACCTTCACGTGCAGACAGAGAGGAAATGAAGCCTAGGTGGGAGAACAGGTTAACTGCAGCTAATTTCAAGCGCTCGGGGTTAGGTTATTATTGAAGGACATGCCCCCGCACCCTCGTCCTCCCCCACCCTCCAGGGAGGTGTCTAGAATCTGCAAAGTTGGTCACCTGACCTTCTGGTAGAGGGTGGAGGAGGGGAGGAGATGGGGAGAGAGGCCAGGCCCCCGGAGTCTGTGGACAGAGTCCGGGTGCTGCCGCTTTGAGTAACTGGGGAGAGCGCCTGAGCCTAGTGGGGGGACCTTCCTCAACCATGGCAAACGGCAGAGGAGAGAGAGGGGACCCGGCCTCAGGCACAGGGGTTGGAGCCAGGGCGACTTGAGTGACTCAAGCGTGGGACAAAGAAGCCACTGTGAACACAGGGGATTTGAAACCTGCCACCAGCCAGGATGAGGGGAAGAAGAAAATGAGCAGGGAACATGCCAGAAGTTCCTCTGTTCTTTGAAACAGCTGGTACTCCTAAAGCGGAGACTGGTGAGATGACAGTGACATTTACCCTGCAGGCCAGGACCGCCCCCCCCCCCCATCTCATTTAATCCTCAGAACAACACTCGGGTTAAGAGCACTGATAATACGCATTTTACATACTAGGAAACCTGTGGTTTCCCAAGCTGAGTCCATCCATTCCGCCTGAAGGGCTGGGTGGTTCCTCCTGAGCTTCCGACTCAGCAGGTCAGGGGAGATTTCCACGTTTCTAACAAGTTCCCAGCAGGCGCGCTGCTGCTGCTGGCCCTGGGGCCCCACTTTGATGACTGCTGGTTTAGAAACCACACAGATCCTCCGGGTTGCCGGGAAAGGGTGGAGCCGCCATCACCCTTCGGCAGGCCTTGAGCCTGTTGTGCTGCCTTGCTTAAGGATCTGGAAAGAGGTCTGTAAGTTGCTTTTAGGGAGCAGGAGGCCCCCCTGAGGGTGGGGGACCAGGCTGCTGAAGGAGAAGAAGCGGAGCCAGAGCACCCCGCATGGGACCTGCCACCCCAGGGATGCTGGACGGGGGATGTTAGGATCCCTGGTGCTCCCCATGTTCTCTGAGGCCTCTGCACAGTCGGAGGGCAGCAGGCGAGCTTCCTCAGGCTGCCCGGGAAGACATCACAGCATCTTCTCCTGCCGCGCAGCACGCAGGCTGCCAAGCTGAGATTCCGCCTGATGGAACTCTGATATCAAGGGCGCCCCTAGGACTCAGGAATAAATCGTGCACCTAGGGGTATGAGCTGGGCCCAAAGTGTATTTAGCAGGAATGCAATGAGGCTGGGGGGCGGGGGGCAGGGCGGGGCGGGGCGGGGCGGGGATGGTGTGTGGGTAGTGGTGCTGGGACAGAAGGAAGCTGCAGCAGCTTGGTTTGCTGGAAAGAGCCTCAGTGTTTAGGAATCCAAATTCAGCTCCATGGTGGTCTCCAGCAATACGAGCCTCAGTTTGATCTCCTTTAAAATGGGCATGTTATTCCTACTTTGGAGGGTTCTGTACACAGCAAGGAGTATAACTGCCGAGTGTCGTGACGGCTGTTTCTGCCGGGCCCTGCCTGGTTCTCAGCCTCTTGAGTCCTCTGGGTCAGGATCAACTCATCCTCTCTGCTAGTCCAACCTTGACTTTGGCCTGATTCCTGAGAGGCTCCCCCGGATCCCCGTCCTGCTCTCTGGGCCCAAGTCCCCCTCAGGGAAACCGGATCATCTCCCCATTCCACCCAGCAGCTACGTTCTGCACTGGACCTGGAGGCTGACTCCCGCCGTTCCACGCGTCAGGGGCTGGCTTGCATTCTCACCCACTGGGTTGCCTCTATTTGCCAGAGCACCCCATGGCTCTCCCAGGGGTCTCCCCAGTGCTGACTGCCCCCTTCTGTTGTCAAACCATCACATGCCCTAGTCCAGTGGGCTGCACACGATTCTGCTTGGGGACCCCCTAAAAGAATTTTGAAAAAACTAAGTACCAGTTATTTTTCATCATAGAGTTAAATAAACGTATATTTGGTGGGAGGGAGAACATATTAAACACTCCATAAAAAGACGTAAGATGAAGACTGACTGTAATTGGAAAGTATATTTCATGATACCGTTTGATAACACTGGCTGAATATGCACACTGTTCGTGAAAAAAATTATATAAAATTTTTATCTCTGAAATTTAATCCATACATAGTGATAGTTTTTGATAGAAGATCTAGAAAACTTTCTGGTTACACTTAAAAGAGTCAGCATTGCTGCCACATTCTTTTTAAAAAATGATGTGCATTTATTAATTTTTCATTACAAAAATATGCATTCATTAAAGAAAATGCAGAAAACAGGAATGTAGAAAAATGATCATATGCCCAGATTTCCTTGTGTTTTCAACTTCTTTTGACCTAATTTCAAATTTACAGAAAACTTAGAAGAATAACTCAAGAAGTCCCATATACCTTTTACCCAGATTCAATGATTTGCTTATAGTTTGCCCCTCTTGCTTGGTCGTTTACTGTATGTTGATGTATGTGTCCATCCTGGTTTTGTTCTAATCACTTGAGAGTGATGGAAATATCTGCCTTGTAGCCTCAAATACTTGGGTGTGTGTTTCCCAAGAACACAGTCACTGCAGTAGGATTAGCAAAATCACAAGATTTAATATTAAAACAGTACTATCGTCTAATCCACAGTCCATATTCACATTTTGACAATTGTCCCAATAATGTCCTTTATGATTTTTTCCAGGATCTAATCCCGGACCACATATCACACTCGGCTGTTGTGTCCAGAAGATAGCGGAACTGTGCTTCAGCCTGGCTTGAACTTGCTTTTTGGAGACCAGAGGCTCTATTTATTTTGCAGAATGTCCTTCAGTTTGGGTTCGTCTGATCTTTCCTCACGATTAGGTTCAGGGTTGCACTGGTGGCTGGACGACCCCAGAAGTGATGTCGTCTTTTCTCGGTGCGTCCCTGGGGGTGGCCAGGCTGCCAGTTCCCAGCGTGCGTGAGTGTTGACTTTGTTCCCGTGGTTAAGGCATTCTGATCCTGAATTCGGAACACCCCAACTCCACCCTCAACAGCATGTGTGCAAAATGGGGAAAGACAGTGTTTCACGCTGGCACCGGGGCTACAGAGGTTTTTTACACCCCGGAAAAATGCTCCGTGTTAAGATTTCAGATGGATGAGGAGCCACCTCTCTTGCGTAAATGGGAGGAGGGTTATTGTGCAGGTGTTGCATTCTCTGGGAAGTTTTAGAGGAAAACTTATGAACGTTGAGGATTTAAGAGATTGATCCCTTGCTGGCATGCCCTTGGGGAACTCTGTGTGCAGTTGGAAGTCCCCAGCCCTGTCCCCCCATCTGGCTGGACCTCTTCCCGGCATTAGGGCCACCTCACCCCATCCTGCTGTAGTTAAAGGATGCGCCCAATAAGTTCC